GTCAGCTGATAGCCCGTTAAGAAAAACGTTGTTTTTGGAATTCCCGAAAAAGTGGGAGGTAGCTGTAAAAACCCTCTTGCCAGCGTTGTGCAATTTTTGAAATTCGAAAAGGAAAGCCCACTCAAAACGGTCCAACCCCGTCGCTTGAAAGCAAAAACCCCGAATGAGAAGCTGTAAAAGTGAAAAAAACAACACGCCATCCACTCATTCAGCCCCGCCCGACTCTAACTCTCCTTTTCTTACCCAAAGCACCGAACAAAAAAACTATTTGAAAAGCCACCGGGTGGCCAAGAAAAAGTTGTTTGGTTTTCGCTCCCCCATCAGCGGCCAGCGCAAGGTTTTTCAAGCATTTTGTAGGCGAGATAAGATAAAGTGAGACCTGGAAATGGATTAATCCAAAGAACTTCCGTGATTTGGTTTGTTGAGGATGTTGGGCGGCAATTTGGAATAAACCAGCTTGGCCGTCAGATTCGAGACTATGCATTACAAAAACCGACAAAATGGTATCATTTTGTAAAATAAAACAAGGCAAACGTGCAAAAAATGGCGCAAGGGTTGGAAATACACGGTTTCTGCGGCAAAAATGAAGCTTTTCGGTCGAAGCGCAATATCGAAAATGGATATTTTGGATGGGTATGGATCCTGTAGGAGATAAGCTGGGTTTAATATTTTCTTATTTCTTCTTAATTCGGATAAAATTTATGATAGAAAATCTCCGCAAAAGGTTTTAGTGACTTTACAGTATTGATGGGTTCTAAAGGGATTAGCAAGGTGAAAAGGGCTGAAAAATACAAATTGCACAAGGGTTCAAATTCTTGACTCGGTTGCATTTCGAAACACCAAATTTCAAACACTATTTTTGGAATGCTGGTGCACCGGAAATGCCAAAGCGATCAGGACCAAATGACCACGCTGAAGAACAGCGCCCCGAACATGTCCTTAAATCGCTCGATAGTTCATTCAAACCACGGCACCATGTGTTGCGAAAGGTCAAGCGTCCTTTCCTGTCTTCCTTTTCTATCGTGCAGGGAAATGGCCGGTTGCCAGGATTGGTGTGCAGAGCTGTGCACCAAGTACATTTGGTCTTAAAATACAGCCTCCAAAGTATTACGTAATGTTATTAGCCGAAAAATGACAAAGGCACACAGCCGGGTGCTGCTAAGGGGGATCGATGAATGGCTGGGTGCCCGCGCGCGAGCGGGCTGGCTGCTGGCTGGAAAAAAAACTGAAGGCAGGACTGCAAGGGCACGAGAAAAACGCGCGTGGGGGGGAGAAGAAGAAGGACTGCACACACATGCTAGCCGACCAGCCCCAAAAAGACGACCAATGCAGACAGGTGACTCTGACCTCGGAGCGTTCAGCTGTATATGTGAAATGTGCATCTGCCCTTGTTGGAGAGGGCCTACTATGGGTCGAAGGCGATCTGGGCCACCGTTTAAAGGGGTAGGCAGGGTCGTGGGGAGGTTGGTAATTCGTCTTCGTGACAGTTGATTCGGGTGGATTTGAAATTTGGGTGGAAGGTCATTGGAGCAATTAGTGGTAATTAGTCTGTAGATAACTAGGGAAAATTTTGAGAATTGAAAAAGGGAATTTTAATATGTTGTGTAAATTATGTTTTTCTTTGCTGCGACAACAGTCATCTCTGAATTTTTGGGTGTAGGTGTCATAGGCAACCCTATTTAACAATTTCGTATATGACTAAACAATGTTATTTCGAAAGTTATCTGGCCACTACACTTCTTTATACACTTTACAGAATTGTTCCGTTTTTCCTGACTCTACTACCCAATTTTTTCAAGCATTACCCAACATTACGAAATCCACCCGCCAAAAGTTATAGCCGACCCTTCCAATTATTGCATAACAGTATTGCATAATTATATTTATGGTTTAATTACTTTAAAGTAGAGAATAATTCAGACGCTAAAAATATTGTTTTAGTATTCAAGGTCCCTTCTTAAAACCCCGATAAAAGTTGAACAATGAGAACAAATACCCCCGGCCCGCCCTCTTGCGTAACACATTCGTAATATCAAAAATTGGCCGCAACCAAGAAAATCGAAGATGTTGAGTAAATGGTGCGTATGCAATGCAGAATGGGAAACGAACGAATGGCCGCTGGCGGTCGACAAAGGGTGACGCACCGGGTGAAAGGGTACGGGCCGCAGGAATGATGCGTGGGAGGCCCACCAACCGAATGGCATTCGCATGGTTTTATGTCGAATAAACCATTCTGTGATATGTAAATGTGTGTTTTCGCGAAGGGGGGGGGTTGTCTGGGAAGAAGGGAAGATTAACCGAAAATCTGTGTGCTTGGGATGAGGATTACGGTAACGGGGTAGGTGTATTTTTTTGTACTACTTTTAAAATATTCTCTAAATAGGTTTTATTGGAATCCATAGCTTGGTTTGGATAATTACATCGCCTTCAATGAATAGAACATTAAAAATAGCTTATTGTTAGTGAGTTCTTGCTTAAGGGTACTGTAGTTTCCAGATTTTTGATGCAAACGAAAGTTTAATTCAACTATGTACTAAGATCCAAAAAACCTCTTCAGCTTTTGTTGAATTAAGGCTTACGGTCACTGGAGATTTTCGACGACTTCCTGAATCTATGGCATCAATCCGATAAAAATATAAAAATTTATTACGGGACTGCAGTTCCAGGGTTCTTAATCCAAATAAAAATACTTTAGCAGTTGTTAGGGCTCTCCAGTTTTTAACTGGTGATAACAAGGTGTAAAAAACCTCTTCGGCTTTTGAGGTATCAGGCTGACTAGTTGGAGCACAAAATCTCGAATCTATTTAATCAATTAAAAAAAACACACCCCAAAATCTAAACTACTTTTTTTGCGACGGCCGAAATTGGTTTTTGGTGGAACGGTAAATAATCCGCTGGCCGGAAACCCTCACCCTAATGAGGTGGGGAACGGCCAAAATGACCGCTGGAACCTCAGATGTAGGGCTGGGAATAATCCCCGCCCCATATCCACACACCGAACTGCTGGCCCTAATTAAGGAATGGAACCCCCAGGGTTTTTTGGCGTTTGCCTTTGTGGTCGAGGCCCCACGACTTTTTGCCTGGCAGGCAAAAACGTGGCGTTCCTGGTGGCGGCAATCCGAGCCCAGCCAGGGGGGGATGAAGCCAGCTGCGTGTGTGGGCCACAAATTTTTCATGGGATATGGGCTGCGGGGGGAACGGTCGTTCGTCTCGGGACCTCTCGCCGGGGCTTGTCGGCTATATTTCAATACGCCGGGAGTCATGGGTAATGTAAAAAAATGGGGGCGGTTTGCTTAGAGAGCGGGGCGCGATTTGGTAAGAACTATGTATGCATGCTATGTATGCAAATTAATGGGCGCTGCGTCAATCTCTGCTATGCAAATCAAAAGAGTTGCGATGAAATCAAATCCTAATTTTGTAGCGTTTAATTTAGGTGGACAGCCATAAAAAAATAAATCAAAATAAAAAATCTTCGGGGGGGTACTGTAGGTTTCCGTCGAGCCGCAGTGACAAGCAGGTATAAGAATTAAAAGTATTTTGTCAAAAGCTACACAGCAAACCATAGAATTACTGCAACCAAAACTCTAATTTATAGCAAATAATCCACTTAGAGGGCCTCAAAAATAATTCAAAACGTTATGAAGAGGGTACTGTAGATTTCAGGTTTGTCGTTAAGGTTTTGCGTTTTGAGTATAAAATTTTTTCGTACTAAGTGGGAGTTGGGTACGCAAACGGGGAATCACGGCCACAATAAAACCCGACAAAAAAAAATTTATAGCGGCAAATCATTAGTAGGTATTAAGTTTTGAGGGAAGTACTGCCGATTCAACAAGGCTTAATAACTTTTAAGGCTTTAGGGGTTCTATAGTTCCCAAAAACCTCAAAAATCACACTCAGGCTTTTTTTGCCCCAAATGGCAACTTTTTGTGGAAAACTTGAAACGCCGGTTGATTGAAATGGAGGCCTCGTCCCTCCTGAAATGAGGCAAATGAAGACGCGGTGCCTGGGGGTGCCGGGTGAAAGTGGAATAACAAACAGAAGAGTAAATATCCCGCCGTGGGTGGATTAGAAGCAAATCCCCGTGAGTGTATGCGGCAACGTGTTGAATTCCGGAGGATCTGTTTCAATAAGTTTCAACCCGGAACGTAGCATTCCTTGACCCATGCAGTTAATCAAGAAACGGCGGGAGCAGCTGAAAGCCACTTATTCCACACCAAAATAACCGTCCAGTTTCAACCCTAGAACTTGTAGAACTGACTGCAGCTTTACCCAATCCAAAAACCACCCAGCTGCCCCGCGCGATCCTCCCCACAGCGCAATTCACTAAAAAACTTTCATCAAACATTCGCCCATTACCGTAGATGGCAGGAACTTGTTGCGCGAGTCGCCCTACTCTCCTCCCAATTTGATAACCCACGCTGAGTTGAGTTCCCCCATTCTTTGGGCAGCTTTAAAAGTGGTTGAACGGCCTTTTTCCGGGGGCTGCCGTTGATCGCCCGAAAATTGGGGCGCGCTCTAATTTGCGTGCCGCCTACGGTAAGGCCAGGTGGGGGTAATAGGGGTGGGAAACGTGAGGTGGGCCCAAACTTTGGCTTTTCCGCACTTATTGAGGTGTTACTTTTTGGTTCCGGGATTATTTTTTGCCTATTAAATAGTGTAATGTCATATGTAAAAACCAGTTTATTTTTTCGGAAGGGCAAAGTAAAAGCCAATGTAAAATAAAGCAAAACTGAACCAGATCGATTTGTGCTAAAATGCTTGACCAGAATAGTAATGGGGGTAGAAGGGTTGGCACATTATGGTGCAGGGCTCATTAAGGCAACTGTATAAATTGTTAAGTAGTAGTAAAACATGAGAACGGAAAGATCGTTGGCAAGAACCTGTCAAAAATGTAAAGTGGAGAAGTAGATCGGCGATTCAAAAAAACAAAACTAACTACCTGGGTTTGACGTTAAAGCAAAGTGATAAACCAAAAAAAAAACAAGATATGGCACAAATCACATTTCTTTCGCGGAATGGGAGAATTTTGCGGCGGGCCTTGTTTTGTAGCTCAAGCCATTGCTTTCGAGTGGGGAGGGGATCCAGGGGAAAAGTCCGAGGAGGTACCATCTTGAGCCAAGACTCTGACGAATGTTTTCCATGAAACCCAGGTTGTAAGCGCTGATGTCCTGAAATATTTAGTGTGCTATATTTAAATCGATGTTCGAAAAGCTCCAAACCTTAATACTTACCTGAAGGTATTCGACCCTTGTCTGCCCCCTCCAGAAACAAAAGATCTGCGCAGAAATTAGATATGAGTTGAAGAGCAAGACAGTGAAGACCAGGCCACACATTCCGATGTATGAGAATTCGCGTACGGATACGAATCTGAATTCTGAGGTTATATATTATGTTAAGTCTTACCTGAGGGCCAGTGCAACATGGGGCATGACCAAATGCCAGAAGCGGCCAAGATGAGCAGGGCCCAATTCACTCCACATCCACACCCAGGTCCATCTAAAATGAGCATAAGTGTCAAAAATCCAACGTATTTTAGTGGGAATAGGATAGCCGAGCTCAAAACACTAAAAACCCACGCGAATGCCGGAAATACGGCTAGGAAAAGCTGAACAATAGCCGCGCAGAAATATTTCTGATTGTGATGCCCGACACAAACGGCGGCAAATGAACAGTGATGATCACGTCGGAATATGCAAACATCACAAACTAAAAAATATAAATTTTATATTTAGAGCTTTTCCCTTACCTGGACAGTGATGTGATCGTGGGGGCGCATTCATTTTACAATGATGACAGAAGACAAACCCGGCCTAATTATTATAATTCATACACTTCCACGTACGTTCCTTACTTGATATGTCATCGGAAGGGCAGTGTTGATGCCATTTGGCCCAACACGAATCATCTGAACCCAATTAAAGTACATACTGGCTAGTAGGAAAAGTATCGGCACCACACGAAGCATCCAAGCTAAACATTTTGTATTGGTTCGATCAGTTATGAATTACCTTCTCCATACACCGGATACCAAGTAGGAAGTACCATAAAGAAAACGCCAAAGAATATTGCGGGTAGGAGGAAGACGAAGAGAAACATGGCAATCTAATTTGAAATCTATTGGTCTCGTAGGATGGAAATTACCTTATCCTGCGTCTGTTCCGGGATCAGCCTCCTCACGGTTTTCGAAAAATCTCGCTCAAACATCGATTCGGACAACGGCTCCATCTTCTGAACCAAGAAATTCGTTGCTGCTTTTGAAATGGAAGGTAGGTGAGTGGGCAAGAAACTGTCAATGATGCCACGCCACGCTGGGAAAGGGCCGCGAAACGAGCAAATAGCAAACAACTGGAAGCTGGAAGAAAATAACAAACATCCCAGAATTGCGGTAGCGGGGTGGAGTTAAAAACATCTTTGGTGTTTGATGGAAATGAGGATTGGAGAAACTACAGTAGTATTCCATTTACAGGCTAATGCTAATTCTAAATTTGTTTTATCAAAATAGCAAAGCTGAAAAGATTGCAAATATTCAGCAAATCCGGGCGCGTAGGGACTTTATAAGGTTTAAAAGCAAAATATTCACCCCCAAAAAATCTTATTTTATTCGATAGTTGGTAAAATGAAAATAATAAGTCCTCGTACTTTGCTAAAAAAAAGCCCTTTTGCACGTTTCAACATGTCTTAGCATCCAAAACCGACTGTCATAGGCCCATTCGGCATTTTCCCCTTTAGAGTATTTTAAAATTGACGCACATTAAAATCTCGCAAAATGCAATGTGCATTTCTGGCAAAAATCTTGAAGTAAACAACCCAAAATCAAGCGATATGCCCTGGATTCCCCATTTTGGGCGTGGAAAACAGTGACACATCCCCGAGAGAAAATCACTGATATGAGAGATGTGGGCGGTGGCGACTTTTTCTTGAGAGCCATTTGCCAGAACGGCAGATTGAGTAGTCGGAGGCGAGAGATAGGCTAGTGTTTGAATAAATAGAGAGGGGACAGAGTGAAAGTAGCGAAAGTGAGAGAGGCCTGTTGCTGTGGAGAGTGAGGCCCGTTGCAGGACCTTTGGCACATTGCCAGATCAGCTGTCGACGAACTCGGGGCCCCACGTTGCGGCATTAATGATTCCACATCGGAGGGTCGTACGTCATTCAATCCATCACTATTGAATGAATAGTTCAAAATGAGCCGCTTCCTATCTTTACAACCCGAAGATCCCCCAACCTCCGAAGCTCCAAGCGATTCATGTGAGGTATGGATTATTCCTGATGCAAATAAGGCTTTAGGTCGACAATATTCACTTCTCCAGCATTCACGATGAACAATCACCGGAATCGGCTTCTGATGAGGGGGAGTCGGACCCTGAATATGAACCGCCGGTTCGTGGTTATATGCCGGATATTGAAATAAAATTATGCAGCTCATCCGCCGCTTCAACGATCATTTGTCAATGAACAATGTGGATCGATACAAGCCAGTATTTCCTGAAAACCATTGGCTCTCGGTAGGGTTTATAGTCGCAAAAAAATGGGTTGTACTTTTTCAGAAAGCGACAACCGGGTGTTTCCCACAAAATCCTGATCTTCCGTTTTGGAAGGAAACGCAGAGGCAAATTTTGTCATGGTCGGCTGGGAATGAGGAGCATGAGACATCACCGGAAGTTGAGGAGGTAACTCATCTCCAACCTTGCGGAAATAATTGAAATTAACAGTACAAAGAAATGATAATTTCAGTCAAACCAGATGATCTACATGACGGGCCTAGTCGACGCAATGGTTACAGAAGCCCGTTGGCGATCTCGCATTGCTGCTAATCCAAAATTAGCAACGTGTCTATCAGCAGTAAGTAGTTTACCATATAAAGCTTATTAAATAGCGAATTCCCATATGCAATTCGATATTTTAAGATTTCTCCTGAATACGCGGATGGCCTAGTATCTGCGACTGAAAACGGACATGATAGTGGGGACAGCGACACATCAACTCTTGTTGACCCAGATGAAGATGTGGAGGAGCGCATCGTGGAAAATGGGACATTTTATGTGAAGAACAAGCAGAAGCAGACGTCTCGGAGGTGGGTAGGATGCCGAAAGCTGATTACAGATTTATAGTATCTCAAAACCCAGGCAAATTGAAAAATTGTAAGCGCTCGTTATTTTCCTCCTAATATTCCTTCTCTATCCATGTAGATCAAAAATTTAGCTAAATAGTGGCTTCCAGAATCCGTTCAAATACTCGTGGTGTCGCTGAAGTTGTGCTAAAGCGAGATCACGAGCTGACACCCGCGGATTTTGCCGTTCAAGCTCTTGAAAGCCTGATGGAGACTGTACAGGTAGCTGCCAATTTTTACTGAAGTAACTATTTTACTTTTCAGATCCCCGATCGCCACGTTCAGAAATGGGTTGATGATGTGATTGGCGCCCCGGAGAAGGTATACAGCCGTAGTCTCGTGCATCGACCCTTAGTTTGGTTTCTAGCTTTTGATGGGAGAACGTGATCCTTTGTCCAAAATGTCAACCTCTAGTGCTGGTGATGTGTGGATCGTTCGTTTGCATGTTGAAAAGAGGTGCTGCTCGCTTTGCATTTTTACGCCCCGATTTCAGCTCCAAAGACCTTCTTGAAGAACAAAATTACCGGTGTGCGGGATGCGAAACAAAAATTACAGATGAATATGTAAAACGAGTCAAGTAGGGCACGCTCCTTGCCCATATTCCAATTTTTCTAGATATTGCGATTATTTTGGGAAAATGTTTTGCCAGTGCTGCCATCAAGGTGCCAGGGCCAAGATTCCCGCCCGAATTCTGGCCACCTGGTGCTTCAAGTTGGTGCTGATTCCCATATGAAATTCTAGATTTAGGGAATTTATGGTCAGTGACAAGGCACTCTCCTTTCTCAACGAAGTCTACAAACAACCAGCCATTCACTTAAAAGACCTAGCGCCAAAACTAATCGAGAAAATTCGGGTATGTTTGAAAAACTATAAAAATACAAAGCGATGCCTTTAGGTCCTCCGGAATGCTTTATTAATGCGTGAAAAATTGTCACACATATGGTCATTTGTCCAATTTTGTCCAGATGCCGTTGGGGTTATCACAAAGGAGGGCAGGTGTGTACGATTAGCATTATTGATTTTCAAAAACTGATTTCAGGCTGGAATCGATGTTTCTAATCCTCGAAAAACATTATCTGGGCAAGGAAACGGATCTCTTTTCACTTGAAGATCTCGAGCGGGTGCATAATGGGAAACTATCGGCTCTGCTAGAGCCGGCTATACACTATGGGAAGGCACATATCGAAAAATGCGAGGTGCGTTTAAGGGAATATCCACATTGGGTTGAAATTCAGATTGCTAGCTAGAGTTGCTAGTATACATAACCTCGTAAATTTACATATAAGGCAATTACACTTCTAAATTCTTATATTACTTACGTTGAGTTCTCTTTGGAGAGATTACTGTCCGTAATGCCCTCTTTAGCCGGGATTAACCCAGAATTGCCTTTACGCGCGTGTAGGCGAGTCCCAAGGCGCTAGGAATCCGATTTGAATTCTTGCAAATAGTTCCTGCAAAACAACGAAAATAGAACTTTTACCTACCTAAACCAACCTACAAACTACCCTTTCAGAAATGCTTACTACAAGCCACTTTTTGCCCGATCTGCAACAACGAAAAAGACCCGCTCTTCCCTCACCAGGTAATTTTATTCGCTTCGCTCCAAAGATATCTGAAATTTATCCCGGTAGCACCGATAGATCATCAAATACTTCTATTAAATTAATTCTAACAAGTATCTTAATTTGTTTAGGTAGAAAGGGTAGCGCGCTGTGAAAAGTGTGGCACGCTCACACATCTGAAATGCGAGGCGAGGCGCAAGCATTCGGATGAAGGCTGTGTCAAGTGTATTCGGAATCAAGAAGCCAGGTGTGTGTAAAAAAATTGTTAAAATTAAAGTTGTTAACTTTTAGGCGTCGCCGCATAGTCAGGGTCTATGATGAACTATCGCCATAAACTACAAAACTTTCCGTTTCGGGACGCTCTCCCCACCATTAGTGCATTGTCCTCCCTGTCAGCTTTATTTTGATCGATCGATAACACTTGTAAATATTGCCCAACGTACTCAGATTCTAAACGATTTCCACGCAATCACTTCACCTATTTATTTATCCGTTTGCAATAATAATTCCTTACACCAAACATCTTTTCACTTGTGGTTGTTTTGTAGACGGGCATCACCATCTGTTGATAATATTACCTTTACCGGTGTACTCTCTAATAAAAATTAAGAATATCTCTTATCTTTTTTGAGTATCTCAGCGCTGCTCTGGCCGCTTGGATTTCTTTTTGTAATTTTCAATCGATTCAGCTTTTCAAACGCATTTTCATATATTTGGTCCAGTGGAGCTTGACGATCTCTAGCGATGTAGGTTTTCAACAGTTACGCTACTTGTGTTATCGGTTTTTATTTGGCAAATTTTCTTTTTTAGGCTGCCAACGTGCTCCTACGTATCGCTCAATTATCAATTCACGCCGGCCAACGGTTTCGTCCCGAAGCAGATGTCGCCCGGGCTAAATCCCAGCGCGCTGATAGCCGAAGATCGTGAGTTGATTTTCTGCTTTATTACGGTGAATACGACTCGCAATCTTCTTTTTTAGATTACGATAGCTGTGCCGTCTGTGGCGACCAATCGGATGGCCATCATTATGGCGTTCGTTCATGCCGAGGTAACCTTTTGTGTTGATGTTGGGAGCTATAAAAGGGTCTGATTCTAATGTTGGGTTTTAGGTTGTAACGCATTCTTCCGACGCGCCATAACGTACAACATGCAATTCATTTGCCGACGAGGAGGAAAATGCCCGGTGGATAAAAGTAAATAGTTTCTTTGTTGCATAACTGATGGGTTTTTAGATGCCCGTTGTGCTTGCCGCGCGTGCCGTCTGGAGAAATGTAAAAGCGTGGGCATGGACGCGCGTGGTTTGGATTTTATAACACTATATTATTGTTTTGTTTAGCTGTCCAGCCAAAACGTGAGGGCAACAGTCTTCCCGTCAAGGATCCTTATGAGGTTCGTGGATTTTCACAGTTTTATTTTGCCCGTGAGACTTTGTAATTTGTATTTATAGGACCTGATCTTGCCGGATGTCCCGCCAGCGCCACCAGAAAAAGCTTCTCGTCTGGTTCAACGTGTCTTCAAATATGCTGAGCAAAAGAAGCGTCGACAGGCCATTATGTGCACTACTCTCGAACAAGTATTGGCTCCGGAGGTGAGAAGGCTTCTGCGAATGATTACCATTTTTAGACCAACGTGCTGAAAGGTATTGCCAGCCCAGAAGATCTCTCGAACGTTTTCCGCGCCCAAATCGTCCTATGTTTTGAATGGGCATCCACCTACCCAGAGTTCAAACAGTTTAATAAGGGCGATAAGGTAATAAAATGATCTTTTGATTTATTGATATTGCCAATATTTAGATCGGAATCCTACAAAGCCATATTTTGGAATATATCCTGCTTGACGACATCTTCCACACACTACAACTCGGTTTCCGTGATAGGATCGTCTTAGTCAACAATGCTTATTTGGCTCCAGGTGTTTTTACCTTGAATTTGGAATGTCTTTTTACAGGCAATTTCTACACAGGTGCCGATGCGGAGAAATATCCACGTGAAGTCATCGAAGCGTAAGTACTTGTTTCGCTAGTTTTATCAAAGTTCTTGTAGACTTGGTGGTCCCTGGGTAAGCCGGCTAATCGATCGCTGTTTGATCCCCTGGAGCGAGATGCGTGTTTCCGATGTGGAGATGCTAGTCACAAGGTGCGAAAATTTACCTTTTTCTTATTATTTTAAATTTAGGCAATATACGTTCTTCGAACATTTTGGGCGTCTCACCAACCCAGAAACGTTGAAGATTTGTGAAAAGGTAATGAAATACAGAAGATTTGAAATATTGTGCTTATAGGCAATGGACACAACGGTTCAAGAGTACATTGACTACTACACTAACGAGTGCGGTGGAAAGGAGCAGGATGGGCTACGCCGATTGGGAATGATTTTCGATTGCTTGGCCGGAATTCATGTGAGTGTAAATTTGGTTTTGAATCTTTATCTTCTATAGTTGCTTCAAAGCCAACTTATTTTTGGCTTTTAGGATAGCCTTCTGCCGTTTTTTGAGATGATTCGAAAAATACCAAACTTCGGACTGCTCGATCGCTGGGAGCGTCACCTCAATGAACGGATTTTTATTCTCTCTTGAAATTTCGAATCTTAATTTTCAGTAATTCGAAATTTTTCTAATGTTGATTTCCGAACGCTTCTAGGCATCCATTGATACGTACCCTTGGCTATTCGCTTAATTTAGCGTTTGCACTTTCTGTTAAGCACGATGGCCTACCAATCGGCCCTTCCAATTTCATATTTGATCAAACATTCATCTGTCTCATTTTGGAATTCTACCGGGGCTGGCAATTCTAGTTTTCAATTTATAAGCCTTATCCAATTATAATGTGATCTTTATCCCGAGAGTTCTTTAATCAACCTTCCGATTGTTCGATTTTGGCGACCGAGATCGTGATGTCGGCAGATAAAATTTTATGTTAAACGAATTTCATCACCCATCACCACTGTTTCTCTGCAAAAGAACTCCTCGCCAGGCGAGGTGGTAGGGCTCGAGACTTTCAAGCTGTATAGGTGAAGAAAAGGGCAAGTCGCCGTGTGTGGCAATGTAGCCAGAGAAGACGGCTGCTCTTTTGAAATGTATAATTGATACCTCTCGAGGCAAGGTCAATCTGGGCAGAAGCCGGAGACGGGCGCCGAGCCCGCGCAGCTCATGCTCACCTTCCTTCCCCTGCCGCCTCGAGGATACTAATTGTGCCATCCAGACGCCCGGCAATGCTTCTCCCCGCCTATGGCAGCTCTCCCCCCATCCGGCCCATCCGAACGCCCAGCGCGCTTCGCGCCTATTTTGGTTGTAGGGAAAATGAAAGTGACTGTCTGGTGTTACTAGAGTTGTTTTGATTTTCTTGCACTTTTGGATTTAGAAGTTGTGCTTCATCTGCTGCTCACTGTCTCGACTCGATTTTAGCTGAAATTTCGTAGTAATCCCGGCGTTAGAGTTAGTAAAATTATTCCTTACATAGCAGAATCTATGCTAATCGTCCATGTCCAACGCTCCTCAAGGTATCTTTTGCTCCCCTATAGCTTGACTTTGCTGCTGAAAGTAGTATATTTTTTGTACTATCCTCAAGTCTCGAAAAATTGCGAATCAAAACCCTATAACTATTCCACAGCCTTTTTTTTAACAACAATTTCCCCCACTTGGTCGCAATTTTCCACTGGATCTCCATCTCCATCAACCTAAACTCGAGAAACCTGATCTTACCTCTCCTCCCCTTATAAAAACACCATAAATTCCGACTCCCGATGTCCAACAACCATCTCCCACCACCCCGAGAGCCCCTTACCGTCTCGTACCCGAGCGGAAAAAGTGAATTTTGGAGCGGAGCGGAATGGCAGTCCGGTCGAGGCGGAAAAAAGGGAGAGGAGCCCCTCGCAGTCCCGAGCACCTTCCTTTATTCGCCCACCCATAATAAGTGCCCGCCTTTCCCTTCTATACTGTATCGACTTTCCCAAGCCAACGAATGTGCCGTTGGCAGATTCCTACCCACACACACACACACACACACATCCCCTAGAATCCCTTCCACAATCCTGATCTCCACCCTCAAGGGCATCAACTTGTTTGCAAAAGATTTACATAAGCAAACCGCCCCCACCTTTCCTTTCAACTTGTTCAAATTCAATTCGTTTTTCCGGGCTGAGCCGGATTGCCATTGGCACTTGGGCAGCGATTTTTTGAAGGATAAATCGGCGACTTCTGGCTGCCCACATTGGACGTTGGCGCGATGCGCCTCTACCTGTTACTCGGCATCGTCGTTGCAGGCTTGTTAGGTGAGATCGGGAAAATTGGTGCTGCGTCAAGTGTTTGAGGACGGGTAGGGGGAGCATGATTTTGCACCTGACGATAATGCTGGAGGTAAGGAACGATTTCTTTGTTGGGGATGTTGGTACGAAATTTTATACTAATGGGGAAGCGAGTTAGAAAGACCGCTTCGCGGCTTTTAGACTTTAGAACTAGGAACTACGTGGGACGCCGGATAGCTCATATTTTTCATAGTCGTTCGCGAATCCGATAGCAGAAAAATATTCTTATACAGGCCATCCTAATTTCCGGTGAATACTAATTGTAATTAGGGATGGTGATCGATATTTTCAGAAAATTTACATGTAATATTGGGACCAGCAAATTCAAAATGCAACATTTGATAAGCGCGGGATGTCGAATTCCATACACTAAAATTAATATTAAAATTTATGCTAATCGTAATTTGATATATAGAATGTTGCTATTTATTTTCATAAGGCTACCGTCAGATTTTTTCCATCGCCATGAACACTTACTCACATGTAAAGTCTAATACAAAAAGTTGCCTCAATTCTTTTTAATTTCTTCCATACACCGCATTTTTTTTTCAGAAAACATCGCAGCGATGTCGATTTGTGCCAGACGTCAACATACAATAGCGGGTCCATTCTTTCAACGAGTAGACCTCCCCTCTTCCGTGGCATGCGTCGAGCGATGTGTAGAATACCTCGATCTATGCAAATCTGCATTATTTATCAAAAGCGATGATAAGCCCAACGGTATCTGCCAACTTCATCCTTACAATTCGGTTGATGCTGATGAAGCTCTCCGAACGGTGGATCCTGAGAATGACTTGGTATGCCAGCTGTCGTATTTTCAGAAAAAGTGTGCTTTATAGGAAGTGACGTTGTTTGAAATTCGCGACAAATGCCCTCCATTCACTAAGTACGAATATCTCGATTTGTTAAGCCCAGAATCCTTGGCCAGGTTGAGTGAAACGAAAAAAATTGGTGAGTGGCATTTTACTAGAACTTCCAAAGTAAGTTTTAGCTCGTGCGCTTACGGCGGCTTTTGATAATGAAATCATTCAACGAGAAGACGCATCTGATCGGAGAAATGACTTATCATCTAGGGAATTGTCGATCTACAAAGAGAAATCGCATGGCTATGCGGTAATCTCAAAGATTCACATATTTCGAATTTTCAAATTTTTCCAGACGATGCATTCGTTAGATGAACCACGCCGTCCTAACCCCCAACAAAACCCATTTGATTCCAGCTCTCGGGAAAGAAATCAGGTTTTTATTTAAACCGAGTTCGAATACCTTTCTAGGGTCGTAAAAATTATAACGCTCAAGAAGAAACAAACTACGGGCCTTCTCCGAGCCTTTCCGGATTGACGCCAATACGACCTATACAAGTAAGATCATCCTAATATTAAAAATATGGTACAGATTTTACACCAAGGACGGCCAATGCTACCCTTCGACGATCGGCCACCTTTAGCCTTACCACAAAACACAGCATATCGCCATTCATCTTGCCCTGGTATTTACAAGATAAAAAATAGAACTCCTTTTTCAGCCGGCTCGGCCTGTGCCCCGACCCTCTTCCAGGTTGACAAATCACCATGTCCTGCTCATCAAGGAGATCCTTGTGCTCCAAAGCCGCAATGTGCTCCTCAGGCGAATGTAACTTGGACTTAAAACGACTTAAAACTTAGATTAACAAATTAGGAATATCCGCAAGCGCCTTGCCAGCAAGATGTGCCAGAATGGAGTGAATGGACGGCGTGTTCGGTATCGTGTGGAATGGGGCAAATGATGAGGACCTGTACCGGCGGTGGGCTCAATTTCGTTTTTTTTCGTTAGAATCAAGGATACCACTTTAAGCTTCTGAAACTTATGCAACATTGAGCGTCAGTTATTGAAAAAGCTTGGGAAATTCTTTAAAAACTATTTTATTTTTTGAAAAAGCGAAGGATGTGAGCTTTCAGGCAACATGTCATTTTTCTTTAGTTTACGAAAATTTTTGATCGTTACTGAACAAATGAGAACTCTATTAACCGAAAAAATGCGAATTTGCGATTTCTAACCTATGAAAAGTTTTTTACGTCTTTTGAATATTTTCTACTAATGTTTAATTTTATATTTTGAAATCTAGTAGAGCAAAAGTTGTGTGAGTTTACCCGGTTGTGCGGCTTTCCCGGGCTCGAGGCACTTGATGAACGCGTTTCCCCGGGACCACCCATGCGACGTTGTGGGTGGTCACCATGTAGGTCCCCGCGGAACGGGTTCCAATCCCATTCTTTCTTCACCTTTTTGTGTAGTAGAAATCATGAAATATGCTAGAACTGAAAATAAAAATAAAAAATACAATATAAAAATATATAACCAAATACTAGAATCACGAAAACCAGTGATCCTCATAGTTCCAAACTTCATATTTTTTTTCAAATCACCGTGTTTAAATGGAATTAACTATTTTATCAATAGTTTTTTTTTGCATTTCTAAATGATAAAGCTAATACTTAAACTTCAGGCCACTGCCCGGGAATATCAATGGCACCGTGTTTCATGCCGATTTGCCAGGAATGGGGACCCTGGGGCCAGTGGACCGGATGTTCGGCAACATGTGGAGCCGCCCAGAAATCAAGGAGGCGACAGTGCATTGGCGGAAATGATTGCGTGGGCGGGAACTTGGTAGATTACCGACAGAACGCTGGGAATAAAATGGTTTAGGAGAATCAAGACTGTTATGCGACGCCTTGTCCTGAATGGTCGGAATGGGGAGACTGGGAGGGCTGTACGCAAAGCTGTGGTCAAAGAAGGGAAAAGCGGTAAAAATAAAAAAAATCGAGGGCGTAAATTTGATAAATTTAGATACCGCCAATGCCAGGGTGGCTTGAATTGCCCCGGTATGCCTGTGGAAGAGCGCATTTGCGACAAAGGCCCATGTCCATATTGGGCCAGCTGGTCGCGTTGGGACCAATGTACCGCGACATGCGGCGGAGGATTCACCGTAAGTTTCCATTTATTCCAGAAACTGTTATCTATACAGACACGTAGTCGAGAATGCGTAAATGGTCCCGGATGCAGCGGGGAGCAGGAAGAAAAGCAGCCCTGCAATCTGGAACCCTGCCCGGCTTGGGCCGACTGGACCGAGTGGTCACTTTGCCCTCCGAAATGTGGAGAAGAGTCGGCCAGGATTCGGAATCGGTATTGTGACGGAAATCAATATCAAATATATTTTAGGGCTTGTTATTTCAAAGGGTCCTTATTTAATGGATGTGAAGGTCCGGCGCAAGATCAATCGCCATGTCCGGTGTCACAGTGTCCGAAGTGGAACGAATGGTCGGATTGGTCGGAGTGTAGTCATACGTGTGGTCAAGGGACACAAATTAGGTATGCTTAGAATCATTAATCATGACGAAAGCAAACTCTAAAAACGAAAATCGAACCTAACGAATCCTAGGACCCGAACCTGCGAAGGGAATGGTTGCGACGGTCCGTCGCGTGAAATGCGCTTCTGCCAAATTTCGGTGTGCCCATACTGGGGTGAATGGGGCCAATGGAGCGGATGTTCAGTCACTTGCGGTCTAGGAGTATGCGAACGGAAGCGAAAGTAGGTCTTAACCCAAAATCCTTCAACCCCTAGGTGTGTTCTCGACGAACTGATCAACCTACCAAACTTGGATGAACTGGAAGCAGCAGCTGCTGCGGAAGAAGAATCCATTGAGAAGGGCTTGAGGCTGGTTGAGGAAGGCGCTAACTCGATAGCTGTGCGGTTGGCACGACGAACCACACCGAGTCCAAGTTATCATTCTCATGGGAGGAATAGTCGAGAGTCAAATGAAGCTTTTGTAAGGAGCTTTCCAGCAGCTAGAAACAACCAATTCAGTGGCGGAGAGAAAAACGTGCAGTGTCTCATGAAGTTGCTGAAAGTATCGCTTGCGATGGGTCTGACGTTGAGCGGAAAACTTGCGATGCTGGTATACAAGCATAATCGCTACAAAGCAATGTTTAGGATCCTGTTGTTATTGGGATCAATGGACGGACTGGTCTCCTTGCATTGGATGTGGTTCGAATTCGATTACAAGGAGGTAATAAAAGAAGCAAAGCAGCTGAAAAAGCCTTTCAGAAGCCGTGCCTGTAATGGTGGAAGCATGGGCAAGCCACCACTAGTCTTCCAGGTCCAGCTTCAAATTTATCATTTAAAAACCAAGCATTTCAGGAAGATTCTCTTCCCAGACCATCATATGTAAAATCGGAATTTTACTCTGGACCGGGCACATCTTATCAAGGACAACACATGCTACCCCAATCGGCATTCGCCGGGCTGCAACCCATCGTACCTGTCAACTTCCGTGGAAAACGCGAAACCATCTCGCATTATGCCGGAGGTATTGCGTTTGCAAAATCTCGAACCCCTTTTTAGCAAGCGAATGTCAATGCCAAGGCCCTGCGGTGGAGACTAAAATTTGTTCGGCCCCTCCGAAATGCGAAGTCGAGGCCGAATTTGCGCATGATAGGTGAGTCCGAGACTAAAGAAAAATCAAGCTTGTAGCTATGCAACGCTTTCACAACCTACCGTCTTGAACCCTACTTGCGAGTGGACAAACTGGGGCCAATGGTGTGGTTGCGAGAAATGCAGGGTAAGAAACTATGATATACTAAACTTAAAATCTCTTCCATCACCTTAGGAAGGTAGAGAGACCCGAAGAAGATTTTGTGATCTACCCGCAAAGGCACCTGGAGGCCCTACGAGACCAGATCCAACATGCCGATGCAATGGTAGCGATATGGAGGAGCGCGGCTGCCGTGTGAAAGAGGTTGACTTGCATAGAGCATCATAATGAACTTTCAACCGTTTGAAGGAATGCGAAATTGATGCTTTGGTTGCTGAAGACCGGACCCGGCCATCTTTTATTAAGAATGCACCTGATGTCAGCGAACCAAATGATAAACGGCCTCCATCCCAAAAAGCTGGTGTAGCCGCTGGGAGTTATGAGTCTGTGATAATTAAAGCAATAAATTTAACGTTATTTCAGGGAATTAAGACCGGTCGACTATACTGGACCGATTTATTCGAACGTTGAGATCACAAGTATCCAGAAAGGGCCGTGGAATGGAAAACCTGACAACAGCAGTGAGAAGACTATTGGCAGAGCGATTTCTGTGCAGGAATTCAAGAAGGATGCGTTGTTGAAAAAGGAGGCTAATGGGGAGGATGAGCTTGTCGGGAATGTGAGTTTCAAGTGAGCAAGTTAAAAGTTGCCTTTAGCTTTGCCGATGGTCAAAATGGTCTGATTGGTCGGAATGTCATGAAACACGACTGAAACAAAGGAAACGAGCCTGTGTCGGGCTTGACCGTAAGCCCAAATTCTATTTAAAAAATGTTTTAGCTCGCGTGTCCACTTGCCAATGTATGGGGCTAGATTTGGAAGAGACATCTTGTATTCCAACACAACGTGTCGCTTCTTCAGTTGAATTTATTGCATTGACAAATGAGAGGAAAACACAACGTAGGTTGAAAAATTCGAAGAATTTACTTTGTTTTAGGGACAAGACAGGAATTAATAACAGCTCCAGACGAAGAAGATGCGCCAGTGGGAAATGTAAATTTGGTTAAAATATTTTGAAACAGGACCTTTGAAGGGTTGTGAATGGACTCGCTGGTCCCAATGGTCACCGTGTACAGCTACTTGTGGTATTGCAGAACGGATACGAAGGAGAAGATGTTCTTGCGCGTAAGGCTTTAATAAATTTAACGATAACTATATGATTCAGAAATGAAAACGATTGTGGTGGTGAAGTGACAACAGAAACCGACACTTGCGACCAGCCATCCTGCATTGCCACCCCACGACCATTCCCAAAGTTCAATATTTTCCAGTGATGCTCTGTGCTCTATTTTTATGTAGCCCCGCTAGACCTTGTTTACAAACTTTTGGCGCCTCACCCAGTGCTTTAAAATACCGATCTGATTCACCTTTATATACTTGCATATATGCACTTTTGGTTCGTGACAAAAGCGCCTGGCTTTAATGTCGTGGTCTCATTTTCTCCTATATCAATTGGTAATTGATTTTTTTAGATGAAGATAAATATTGATTGGTGTGCAGGGGGGTTCTGTTATACTATATAATTTCGTTGACACCTTTTCGCAACGTTAGCCGACACCTTTGGGGAGTAGTTGACACGTGATACCTGTATTTCTCTGCGTCCCTATTTTCCCCCCGAAAGACTCTCAAGGTCACTTGGGGGGTAAGAGAAGGAGGGGGGGAGGGCTTGATACGGAACAAATAGCCACCCCTGCACCGGTCAGTCAACCCTATAATATTTTACTCATCTACCACCTGCTTTCAAGCTTTATACCCACTTCATATCAAAATTTTTATAAATTAGGATGACGTTCGACGAATTAACTATCTTTCAAATTGACCCTAAAGAACCTTTGACAAATTTCATCAACGGTCAATTTGTCGCTGCGAAAGATGTCATGGATACGGTAAACAGCCATAGCCATATATCAGAACTTCTACTGTAGATTGACCCATCGACGGGAGAAGCTTGGGCCCAGATCCCACGCTCAAGCCCTGTCGAAGTAAGCCAAGCCGTCAAAGCGGCAAAGGCTGCCTTCCCTGCCTGGTCTACAACTTCTGCTCAATATCGTTCTTCCCTACTGCTTAAAGTTGCCGAGATCGTTGAGAAGCACCTGGATGGTTTCGCTGTATTAGAATCACGAGATCAGGGAAAACCGGTTGCCCTTGCAAAGTAAGACATCCTATTAATGTGCCTATGTCCTCTCGTTTCAGACGAATCGATATCCCGCGCTGTATTCACAATTTTCGATTCTTTGCTACAGCTATTTTACATCATACTTCGAAGTACGGATGATTGTAAATACCATGTGTTTGAGTTTTAGATCAACCCATCAAGATGAACCCATTCGTGCTGTCAACTATGTAAAGCATGATCCAATTGGGGTGGCCGCACTTATCAGCCCCTGGAATTTACCGTTGTACTTGGTAATTAATCAAACCGTAGATGACGGGTGATCCCTTTAGCTTTCCTTTAAACTGGCACCAGCGCTTGCCACCGGGAATACGGTGGTTTTCAAGCCAAGTGAGCTGACAAGCGTGACCTCGTGGGTATTGATGCATGCATTTGTAGAAGCTGGTATGAATTCCGTTTTTTATTTTATTGTAGTTCAAATGTTGGTTTCAGGAAAATAATTTAAATAATCAAATTCAGGATTCCCTCCCGGTGTCGTAAATATGGTAATTGGCACCGGCGCAGAGGCCGGAGAGTCCCTCGTGATCCATCCTGATGTCGATATTGTTTCTTTTACCGGAAGTGAGTTCGTTTTATCGAAATTTGACATCTCCTTAGGTACGGTAGTGGGTAAGAGGATCGCCGCATTGTGTGGGTCGCAAAATAAAAAGGTAAGTATTCAATTAAATGAAGTCATAACCAAACATCTTAAGATTAGTCTGGAAATGGGTGGCAAAAACGCCTGCATCATATATCCCAGCACCGACTTGGAAAAAGCAGTACCAGTTATTACCACGTAATGTTCGAAACAGTATTTTGTATTTCCATATAGCTCGTCATTCATCAACCAGGGTGAAATCTGCCTTTGTTCAAGCAGGATTTACGTTCACGAATCGATATTTGATGAATTTCTTTCAAAATTTGTGGAAGCTGCGAAAAAGGTAATTTTAGTAACATGGAGCTAACGGTAAAATTTATTTAGTTCACTGTTGGAGATCCGAGAGGACCATCAACGCTTGGGGCAATGAACTCGGAAATCCATTATAATAAGGTATTTTCGAACAGCGCAAAGTTCAATCCATGTAATACCTTAAGGTTATGGGATACATCAAACTCGCTGAGAAAGAAGGTGGCAAAATCCATTGCGGTGGGAAAGCGGAAATTGAGGGCCGTTGCGAAAAGGTTTGCTCAAGTGGTTTAATGCTTATAATTTATTAGGGTTACTTCATCGCGCCAACGATCATCACTGGGCTTGATGAAAATAGCAAGTGTGTGCAGGACGAAATTTTCGGTCCTGTTGTGTGTGTGATGCCATTTTCAACACGAGAGGTAAGCGGGACAACGTGCCAAAACGGAGTTTTCAGGAAGTGATTTCGAAAGCCAATGCTACTCCATACGGTCTATCTGCTTGTGTATGGTCGGCTATTTCCGAAGAACTGCACAATACAGCTGGTCAACTCCGAGTTGGAACTGTCTGGTGCAACACCTGGCTGGTAATGGTCAATTTCCAATTTTGATAGAATAAATAGACCCGCGATCTCAATATGCCCTTCGGTGGTACTAAACAATCTGGAATTGGAAGAGAAGGTGGAGAAGACTCCTTCCACTTTTTCACCGAACCCAAGACCATTTGCATTGCTTTGTGATTTTTGATGAAGGCCAAACGGGATAAACTCTTTACGTACATAATTTTTACACCATATATCACCTCGATGAGCGGAATACAGAAAACACTTTAGGTAAGTGCAAACGAATAAAAATTAAAAGAACATAACTAGGGGCTCACTAAATACATTTAACATTTACATCTCTTGAGGACCGTTGGGCAAGTCGTTGTTGGTGATGGATGTGGCGATAGGTTCGAAGTAGAATGGCGGGTAGGATCGAGATGGAACACCATGGCGGTTACACACCTGTATAAGCTTTTGCAAAAATATGCTAGCTGGACCCACCTGCATATCATTGCTGTACACATCTCCGTCAGCCATTTTCACATCGATCACGAAGCTTCTCCATTCCAATCGTGTCATTGGGGCGTCAACAAGACGCCATCGGATCTTATGCACTTGGCTGGATATTCCGTATGGGGTCGCAGGGCTTCTCCCTTTTTTCCCCTTTGGCTGTTGTGGTTTCGGTAATTCGATATGCTTCACAAACTGAAGTAAATGTTTAATTTTCTACACGTGCAAGCAAATTACCTCAGCGACCAAGTAATCTTCCTCAAGCCGCCATCTTCCTTTGAGAGCCTCCTTCTGAATAGAAACCGGTCGCGCCAAAACGCTTTCCGGAGGATCGGGCGTATTTCTCAGTGTGATTGTCCCATCCGGGAAAATTCTCAAATAGCGATAGTGGATGATCTTGAAGCAAGGCTGGTAGCTGGTATCCTAAAGCCACATTATTGGCTCTATTCACATCCACACCTGGAAGGACCGTTCTCCATATCGAATATATGTGCAGCAACCAATATAAATGCCATGATAGGCGATTCTCGGAGTCTTCAGCGCTAGCTTATACCTAATAATAATAATAGTATCGAAGGTTTTCAAGTAGTACCAGCTGGGGGCCGCATACTTTGTGATCGAGCCCTGCGTCTCCTTGCTCGTCGTACCGCGAAAAATTTGTTTCCAGAGTTGATTATCGCTAAAATCTGGCATAATCGATAGAATCACAACCTTACCGGGCAAGGAGATAGAATTTCGTGCACACCTCAGAGAGACTATGCAAATCCGTAATCGAGACTCCGGTGCCGACGACCGCCATCACGATTTTGAGCAGCATCTCTTCGGAAAGAAGCCCGAACAAGCATGGTTGAGCTAGTCATAAACGGTTTTCGTCAAATCAAAAAGGTGTACCTTTATCTCTGGGCAGAAACGCTGTTTGTGCCGCGCTAATCCTCTCTTTAAACCTCTTCTGAAGCTGTCTTTCCGTAATATACACCGATTTTTCTGGCTTCTAGAAAAAGTTAAAGCCTTGTAAAGCTATTTTACCGCTTGGCTAGTGGATTCCAAATTCAGAAGATCGGCCATAGCCACTCGTTCTCTCTAAAATTCGTCAATCCGGATTTTAGGGGATACGCACCTCATTTTTCTGCTGTTCCGGTGATTTTCCCTTTTTGCCGGCCTCTTTGGGTTCGGCGGGTGACTGACTTTTTTTGTCGCCTCTCAATTCTTGTTTCCATTCCTCGCTAAAGATCATCAAGATTAAAAGAGTTCTCCAACACACCGAAATTTTGCCAACTCGTCGGCATTTTCAGCTGGATCGGGCATGGAGAGCCCTGAAATTGCTCTAGTAATGGGATTATTTTAAAAAAAATAAATTATTCAGCTAAACCTAAGCTGTGAGATTCACAAAAAAAAGACAGATATCGTAACACCGAATCAGTTTTGCAGCTTCAAAAACCTGGCGTCAGCTGTTAGGTTGCGTAATTGGCAGCGGCTGTGCAGGGGTTTCCAGCTGGGACCCGCCAGCTGGACTATCTTCCTGCGAGGACTAACACGACAACGCGCCAGAATTCTTACAATTCATAATGGGAAATATCATCTGCCTTGCGAGCTTTCACGCTTACATTTCAACTGAAATGAAGGACGGAAATCGAAACCGTGTTATTATATGACGGGGCAAGGCATACCTATTTTCCACGCAAAGGAGACCTAGGACTACGGTAGCAGATGATTGTTAAAACTTTTCCTATAAATTATGTTTGTTTTCTCCATATTGCGTTTGTTTCAGTTTAGACACGTAATATAACTTTTTATTATTCAAAAACAGAAAGTGGCAATGTTTGTAGAAAGTGAGTAGAATTTGGCAGCGTTGGTGCAGCAAAGACAAAAAGACACAAGTTGAGAAACGGCTGTAAGCAAAGCAATCACAATTACGAAGAAGCTGAGGATGTCACCGGCATTGTGGTGTGACCCAGGAATGCAAATTGTCACGAGAAATATGGGGGTGGAAATTTGTAGAAACTGGTTGGGGTAGAGTTGGTGGTATGGAAATAAAGTGTATTTTAGGACTTCATTGCCTATTATTGCGATAAAATTGAGATCCTACAGATGATGCTTGGTTTGGGGGGAAATATGCATTTTTTGAGACAGGCAAACTGCCGGGAGAATAATATGGGCAAAGCTTTGAAATAATAGCCTATTATGTACCTGAGGCATTCAAATTAGCACAAAATGGCTATTTGGAGGGATGGCGATATGTTTGTGGGGCGATTAGAAATTAATGGTCAACATCGTGGATATGGACAAGTGGGGCATTTTCATCCATTCTTCTCACAATTGTTGCTTGAGCCAAACGACTTTCTTCATTAACTGGATCCATGAAAGATATCATCTAAAGGTTAACATTTCATATGAGGTTTGTTGTATAAATCATACCGATTCACGATCTATCTTCACTTTATGTGTTCTTATATCATCATAAGCTCTGATATCCGAATTATCGAGGCTATCTGAGATGTAGCTATCTCGATTTGATTCTAAATAATTGAAAATAGTGATGTCGTCTTGTACGAAAATTACCTAAGGTTGGTCTTCGCATAATTACTGGATATTCATCACTGCGCTTCCGCTTCAATTTCCCAATTTTTGAATCAGAATAATCTTAACAGAATGGTGATGTAAAATTTGGCGCGGATTACCGTCATCAACACTTTTGGGTGATTTCCTGAGTAAGCAACAATAAAGGCATAAGCAGAGCAGAATCAGAAGCACCAAGATTGTGGTGAACAGCACCGAATAGAGCATCCAATTCGCTGACACTAAACCAAAATTAGGATTTTTCTGACGAGTGTAAATTTACATAATTGCGCCGCTTCTGGTCGACCGCTTGGTGTGTAGTCATGTATTTTGCCGTAGGGTGAAGATTCGACGTCAAGTGGACCATGGACCTATGCAAAAATTGATTTTATGATTGAAATGTCATACCCATAAATACGGATCAGCGACTCCACAGGTCTCGTTTGAATCTGACAAGCCGAGATCGTTCATCATCAGACCCTTTAGGTCAACCTAAAGTAAGATAATATTTTCTCTAAATTTTCAAATACAAACCTGTTGAACAGATCCTCCAGTATGCTCATCATAATCGTACGCAGCGCCAAAATCGCTTACGCAACCAGCATCTCCATCCTCTAGCGTATCTGAATTTAGGTATCATCTAGAATATATTTTTTGCATACTTATCAAAGAAAATTCGACGCTAGTCATTGGCAGGCCCGGATCCTGGATACTGTATTTGTTTCCATCGATCTAAATCATCATCAAAATAATGGGTCGGAAAAAGCTTACAAATAGGTTGAAGAATTTTCTTGACGGGTGAGTTCCGAGAGGGGTTCTCCTTTCTAACCTAATCAGATGGACACGATCATCGTCCTTTTTGATGTGCTCTAAAAATGGTTCAGCCACCATATTTGCAACTTACTTCCGGCACTCCCAACAAATATCGCCGGATCTTCAGGCGCTACCTGTACCGTCAAAGTACCATGTGTATCCAAGAACAGGCGGAAGCTAAACGAAGGTAAAAGGACTAAAAAAATATTCCTACATTATCCTGCCATACGAGTAGAACATCAAAATTGGCGTATTTTCCTTTAGCTCGACAGATGGTAGCCGTAGTTTTAGCCAAATTTTCTGTAGAATTCCAGGTGTTCTGGGGAGGGTGAAGATTGAGCGGTAGGCATTTAGTGAAGTGGCCGAGAGGGATAGAATTCCGTCTGAAATTCGATTAAAGGTGTCTAACCTTTCAACGTACTCCTTGGGTTTTGGCAAACACCGTTGGATCCAATGTATCCATTAATGTCTGAACAGTCACATGCGAATTCCGGATCTTTGGAGTTTGTGGTTGGGCGGCATCTGGCGCCTTCCGGGCAAGTCTTTGGGCAATTTCCACAGCCCTTCTAAAAACGTTCGTTCATGTAATGTTGATGAAACTTGTCCTACCATAACCCCATAAGCTCGTTTGTGAGGCGCAACAAGAGTTCGTGACATTTGCTTCTCAAATTCAGCATCTAGATGTACTCGATGGCCATTCGCAAAGATATCTTTCACGCAGCCCTGGATTTTGATATGTTGCTATGTATTTTCTGGCTTACCCGCAGAGATGGAAGCTTCTCGCGCGTGTTCTCAAAGTATTTCTGCTTGAAGTCCTCCTTGTAGATGCCAGGTTTTACCTTCTTATGGTACATTCCACCAATGAACAAAACCGATCCGCGGTTTAGTTGCGTTTTGTACATTTCTACAGGAAACCTGGGTTGAAGGAATTTCTAGGTGCTACCTGATGTGTCGAATTCATTTTCTTCAGTAAGGAGCTGCAGTTCGCAGAGCTCGCGGTCAAGCATCATGAAGTGGGAATTTTGTTGTTTGAAGAAAGCGACGCGGTTCCATTCGTCGGTTGCAAAGCCTGTGAAAATTAAATGTTTTGCGGCGGCTTTATATACCTCCGATTCGGAAAATGGCACAGGCACTGCATCGCTCGTCAGAGACTTCACTTTGGGTGCAGTAGAGGGCGCTCATTTTCTCTCCATGGTAGTGGACCTTAAAACAGATATACTGGGTCAGCATGCATAAAAATTAATGGATTTTGATCGCCACTTTCCGTGTTCTATTCTTCTGCTTATCTAGCCCTTTTGGTACGTGTAAATGGGTTAAATAGAATTTTTCTAGTTTTCCTAACCTGAAATCGCCCCCATTCCTCCTCCTCTTTCCAAGCTCCGAACATAAGGAGCCCCGAATCGGCATCCGATCGGAAAGTGATGGCGGTACGGATGCTGTGGGAGCTTAGTATGTCGGGTAAATAGAGGAAGGACAGCAGCTCGGGCACTCGCAGAAGGTGATACGCTGTACCGAGAACATACTATGATCATTAGCTTATAATTAATACCGTGATGCTCCTCGAGCTTTTTGTGCGCACAGGCTGGGGACGGAAGGTTATCGAAAAGAGTCGGAAGTACAGTGCAATCACATGCTGGACCATCCCAGCAGTATTCACGAGAGTAGAGGCTCTTTCTAAATTGAAAGATATGTGAAGTGCAGCTTATGGCTATTACCTACCCAAGTTTCTTTATCCGTTCACTTTCCACACAATCATTCCTCTCATCAACCGGATGCGTTAACAATATTTGCCCATCGACCTTCACCACCAACCGGATGATTTTGACTTCATCAAGCCCCAGATCGGGTTGAATCTTAATATAAAGCATTTTTCCTTAGATTTTTGCAAACCAGATGCTGGCCGTCAATTTCCACAGATCGAGTCGCGATCCGGAACTTCAAGGTATGCCACCGCCCATCAGCGAGTAGGCCCACATAATGTCTTTCATACCCGTCAATCCGCAAAAAGAAGTCTAAAGGCAATTTGCTATTTGAAATTTCAAACGTACCTCCTTCGATCCGGAAGTGGCTAACCAAATTCTCAGTCATATAGACGTCGAAAAGACTCTGATCGCTTCTCGATGTCCGGAATGAAAATTCGAAGTATTCATCGCTGGCACCAAAAGAAACTTCCACCCCATCATCGGTGTTGACAAGGCATTGCCTAAATGGGTTTTAAAACCCAGTTTTAATGTGCATACGGAATCGGTGCGATATTCCGGGCACAACGGATCTCACTGCCAACGATTTTTGGGGCCCGTGGACTTTCTGGGGTGGCAGGAAGCAAATGTAACACACCAGCCGCCTCGCCTTCCAAAGTGGCTTCAATTCGGCCGGCGACTTCTAGAAAGGCCAATTTGAATCTGATTTTTAGACCACCACAAACCTTCAGTATATTGATAGGTAGTTGTGACGCCAAGGACCGATACAATGGAGAGATCACCACTAAAGAATTTTTTTTTAGCTGACGCTGTTTCCATACCCAAGCTCGTTTTGGTATCCTTCCGGCCATGTGATGGTGATATTCTGGCGACAGTGGTTTTTTCTTAGGGTTTCTTGGAGGAGATCCAGGTCTCGGATTCTGGAAATGGCTTTGTTTTGAAGATACCGTATACAAAATTAAATTTGGCGCGCTTCAGCCTCAAAGTCCCTCTGAGATTCGACAATCTCATCCCCAAATCTGCCTCCTATCTCACGCCACAATGTCACCCGAATCGACATGTCAATGGGGATGCACTTGTCGTGTTGTCAGCAGCCCCCCCCTATATCGGCTCTCCCATGTCACCGATCTCGTAAAAATTTGCATAATCGGCTCGCCGCAGCCTTTAGATGTCGGCTCCTTGAAATCCCGCGTTGATCGCTTTTTCGGATAAAGCATTCCTTCTAGCTTCAATAAGACAATTTTCCATCCGCACGAGAGGCGAGAGGATATTGATATTCCATTAAATTGGGGATCATGAATGGGATAGACCGCGCCGGAAATTCCAATATTCCGAATTGTTGAAGCATCAAAATACTCACTGGAATCCAACCGTACGCTTCTCTCGCACCTCATAGGGTTGGTGTAACCCACTTTGAATCACGGTCACAATTTCCGATTCACCGGGGTCAGGCATCTAGAATAAAATATTTCTTTTATCTCCCCTTGCTCGCGTAATCCAAACCTCGCACAAGACGTTTGACTGGACATCCTGGGTGTTCAATTTCAGGGGTAAAATCCGGGATTTCGATTGGCCGGCGAGGAAATGGCGCCGGCAGGAGGGTCGGGCGGGGATTGCTGGAGGAGGAGGTTTTTGGTTAAATTAATAGTATTTCATACTTTCATCTGCAGCTATGAGAGCTAGTAGGGAAGAAGCTATTAGCAGTAATCTGCCCATGCCTAGAGGCAATGGCGGCATACAGCCGCGTGAATACAGCTAGCTATCTGAAAATAAAGGAAGTTAGAGTAGAATAATGGAAGTGACGATCGAAAATTATGGTGGGAAAATCAAGAGGTTGAAGATAGATTATAGAAAGCTGAAAATTTTTTAGAAGAGGCTTAATCTTTTAAGTTGTGAAGACATTAATTTGGTAGATCGTGTCATTAAGGGTTGCTTAACAAGTTGTGAGTAGTGTAGAGGGAGTGGAGGGCAACATCGGATTGTGCACGGGGGGAATTTCCGCTGTTAGGAGACGAGCAAGCACATAGCAAACAATCGCCAACCTCCTTCCCCCCACACAACCGAGGAAAGGATCGCCCTCGACCACGATATGATAGCTCTCGACGCACAATCGGGAGGAGCCCCTGTACTAGGGGCTTAACTTTGGAGGGTAAGGTTATCAATAAAAAATATGGATTAAATAGGAAATTCATAAGACGTAGCAGTAGCAGTGGGAAGGTAGTAAAAACTCTTTAAAAGGCGAAACTCTACGGTGTAGAGAGAGCCTGGTATGCTGGTAGGTTCACAAAAATAGCGTCCAAAAATTAAGGAGAGCAAAAATGTTGCAAAATATAATATTGAAACTTTTAGACAACATCCGAAAATTAACCAGGCGAACTAAATAAAAAAATTCCGGTTTCCGATTTAAATAAATCGGCACAATTTAACCTATTAAACACAATCAAAGGAGTTTAGTTAAAAATAAAATAATGTTAGAAATCATGAATGGGTAATAAAACTGTTATTCAATATATTATTCAGAAGCAACAAAACGTAAAAAGAAATCATCAAAATAGGCGAAATTCGATCATCTTGAAATTTAAGCGCTTGCCAGGATCACGAAGAACTTTCGAAAATTCAAACTGAAAGCAACAAGGTTATTTAAATTTTTACAAGATGAACAAATGATGACAGACATCACAAAATATACATGTTTAAGAATTCATAAAAAATAACGCATTGTAACCCTCGGTAAGAGTTCCAATCATAAATAAAAAAAATCAAAGTTTTTTATTTTGTTTTTCCTTTCTAACCCCTAATTACGATAAAAAACGGTAAAAGTAGGGATTAGCAGGGAATAATGTTGAACCGGGCGCGCGCCCGGGGTGGGTGGCCCAGCTGATGGCAAACATGCCAGGGCACGGGGGGCCAATGGCAAAATGGCAGGAAAAGCGAGCCGGGAGGGATCTGAGGGTTGGAGATGATGATACAATGGGAGGATGGCATCACTCTCTATCCCGCTAGGCCACCCACAGTTATATTTGCACATTTGCGGGGCCCGGGGAATCACATTGGCAGCTGTGGATTGCCACTGGATTTAACAACTCGGGGGAGCTATTTCGGGTAGGGGAGCTATTTTTAAAGGTGATTGGTAGGCAAAAAGTAATTTGAGCTCTGCAAATTCAAAACGGTAAAGGTTAAGAACCAGCTAAGAAATACGGCATTAAAACCCAGAAATCACGAGGTAATATAGAGCAAGGTATAGGTATTTAGGTAATTTTAAAAATGCCTTTAAATAAAAATATTGCTATTTCGAAACATAATCTCACGAAAAACCCTCCCAACGAAAGAAAGCTGAAGTAAAGAAAACCAGAAAATAAGGTTACGGTCATGGAAAACACAATACTATTAGATATTAGATTCTAAAAATATAAAGGGTTTAAAAAAGATCCCCGAGTTACAGTAGTTTATCATAAAATAATACCTAAATAAAAAGAGGTAGTACAAAGCAGAAGCATTAGACGGTATATTAAAAGTAAATAAAGTGCAAAATGCGAATAAATAGAACAGATGAAAGGAAGGATGATTGACTTATGACAAGCAAAAAAAATAATATTACAGCTCCGGCAAATGCAATACGGTCCTAAACATTTGCAATTCCTTCCATAAACAACTCCGATCCAGCAGCACCTCATCAATACAAAAAAATGCCAGCGCCCGCTTTATTCTGTTTGGCACGCTGGTTAATCGGTTGAATGCCCCGAAAATGATGCGTCCTGACGCCCCCGAAAAAACGGCGCGGCCCCGCCAAAAAAGTTGCATTATTTTCGCGGGGTGGACACAAAGCCGTTTTCGAACACCCGCACGCCCCGGATTGGAACGAAGGAAGTAGGGGGGCCCAAATAAAAAAAGTCTGCGCTAGTCGGGCATAGTGTTTGGATGGGAGCCCGGATTTGGTGGTAAGGGGCGCGCTAAAATCCTGAAATTCGGAAAATGCGCGGTTTTTCGGCGGGGGCTTTGGGGGGATAGGCAATCAGGGGAATGGCGGAATAATTCGATCAGCAAGCCCGTTTAGGCCGGCGGAAAATCAAGGAGGGGGTGATGGTGGAAAAGGTTGGGAGGAGGACGAATTGGCCTGGATAAGAGGCATTTGTCAAAAGGGGTGCACAAAAAAGGGGTAGAGGAACATTTTGACTGATGCGTTGTTAGTGTTAACGGGACCAGTTTGCAGGTGATTGGGTTGGGGAGTGAAGGGTAGTCGGGTCGTAGTAAGTGAAAACAGGCATGGAGAAAACTAATGGCTGATTTTTGGCCGGAGAAATCGTGAAATTCACTATAATATTTACGTTAAAAGCGTAGTGCGGGTAAAGTGACCCTGGCAGATACTTCTTGGCGCAATTTGTGGTTCACAATAATTTTGTAAGTTATTTTCAGAAATGCCGAAGTATCATATGCAAATTATCGCAATTAACTCCTTAATGGACCCATTATAAAGCAGCTAATGTAAGGTTTTAAGCCCGATAAAGATTACATTTTCTTGTCTTAACGTAAAATATGCTAAATTTTACAGCCAAGCATCTCGTTTGATAAATTCTCGATCCAAAAATACCAAAATACAAACGAAATGATCCATATCTCCTTACAGTTATTTTATACTCTTCCCTTTCCCCTACCGCAAAGTGGGCCAATTTTAGCACGACGAACTGCGCGGGGTGCAGCCAGCCGGGAGCGGTGCTCACCCCCTAAAAAGTGCCCACAACGGGCTGACCATTGCCAATAAAAATCCGGGAGGGAGGGCGGAAAGAAAGAAAGAAAAGAGAGTATCGGGGGAGTGTGTGCACGAGGCAGTAAGGAGGCGATGATTTGCATAATTGGCACCGATCGGCCACATGTGGGAGGGTTCGTCTCCTCCTTGGGGGTGGGGGGTTCGTTCTCCGGCGCTTGCCTTGGCTGCTCGAGGTGGCTCAAGGTTTATGGCAATTCGCACACAATGCAGCCAGCCTCGTATTATGGCTCTCTTGCGGATATAGGCAATAATATGGCTGGCCGATGGGGGGTATAATAATGGGTGCCCTCATTTTCGACATGGTTTTATGTGACTAATCGGGTCATTAAAAGGATTGGGTTATATAACTGTGTTGGGGAAAACCCAAGCTTCGAAGTTCTGGTTCACTAGCGGGGGGGGTTTCCCGGCACACTCCTTACACCCTTGACCTAATATTGCACTATTTTAAGCTGTAATCAAAATTCGCAGTCTATTTTTGATGAACTACCGATCGGCGTTAACACCATGTCGAAAAATAGCAAAAAGTCGAAAATTAGCCTAACAACCCCTTTTTCAAAGTTTATTTTTTTTCTATAACTATCTTAGAATATATTCTATTTAGCTCAAATTAAAACTCTGCATATATTTTTATGCTCGATCGAAAATAGCTTGGAAACAACCGAATAATAGCAAAATATCGAAAATCCTGGATCGTAACCTCGACACCCCCCCCCCGCTAACAAACGAGTACCAGTCTTTGATTAATCTGAAATTGTACAACCAACTTCCAAAACAAAAATGCCTCCCGGAAAGTTGCCGGCTCCTGGAATGTTTTGGGAGACTCATGGCGCGGCGATCGAAACGATTAGTAAGTCAAGTGGAGACTGCCGGCCCGGGGAGAAGCTTGCCGTAGTCGTACGGTTCGTTCGACCGAACGATAAATGTAAAATCGCTCATCAAATCGGGGGACCATCCCGAAATGAGTCATAGCCGGCCGGGGCGCCGAGCGTCGTCGGGCGTGCCACGAACAAATTTCGGGCAATCTCGATTCTGAGGCAGGGAATGAGGTGTTTTGTCTGAACCGGGGGGTGTTGGTAAGAATTTGATCGAGGAAATTAGAGCATAAAGCTAAGGAATTCGAGATATTTGGATTAATATTGCAGCGACTGAGTTTAGAGAAGCTGAATTCGCCGAATGGTAAGTCGAAAATCGCTAAGTTTTCTGAATAATTATGCCTTTACATTTTTCGGTCACTAAAAAAGACGAATCTAGGGTGGCAAGACGTAAGAACAAAATATTTGTGCTAAGTTAGTGATTGGACCACCATAAACGGCCGGAAACCATCATGTAAATAGCAGGAAAATTCATTAAGAACCTTTTCTCTACAATTTTTTGATTTGTAAATTATTTCAGCGTTTTTGATCACTTTTCTATATTACGTTACATTACATTACACATTTCATTACATTACATTTAATCCTGTGAATTTCCGAAGCGTGCCAATTTAGAACATTTTTTAAAATATTTTTCAATGCTTACAAGGAGATGGTCGACTATTTTATAGTATGGGCAGCTGAAAGTTACACCAATCGATTCGTCTCGTCGAGCTCTATCAGTGTGCAAATTTTCAAATCGAAATTCGGTGTCGAGCTGAGACCATCTCCTTGTTAGTCTTCTATCTCACGGCGATCCCCGAAAATATACATATCTATCGTTCGCCGGCGCCGAGATTTGCATTTGGATACTGCGCTGGATGACGCCTGGCTGTGGGGCCCTTTGCGGGGACAAAGCGCGCCGGAATGGGCTGTGAATCAGCGTGAAGCACGTGGCCCGGAAACTGTCCTCACGCTCACCCCCCATCTACAACCGACCACTATTACGCAGCTGTACGGTTGAGGCATAAAAACACAGGGGATAGGAAAATGGGATTGGCCTTGTTTGACGGCTTTGGATTTATGGGATTGAATTGGAA